GACGCAAAACAGTGCTGTGCCTGTGTTTGGAATTATTTTTGTTGGCGAAATTAAGAGACGTCTAAAACGTCTCTTAATTAAGTTCTTGTTTATTGAACTGCTCTTTGTGTGAAATTGATTAACTACATGAAGTGGTATATATTGAGATCATTCTCAATGTATTTTAATAGACTGAATCATGCAGTGAAAGAACGCACTGTAGATGCGCTTCACGTAATATATGTGTGCACTCTGTAGATGTGCTTTGAATTGTATTTTTGCAAAATACTCGATAATGTCAAATCGCACATTGTTAAAACAACAATTACGATATGATCACAGATGATATATATCGCACACTCATAATCAATATTCTAGCAAACCTCCCACAAACCCCTTGCACTGTGGCAGTGAGTTTTACTCCCCACTGTCCGGAACAGCCTTGGCAATGAGAACATGAATTTTAGAACTGAACTGTCTAGGTAGGCAGATCACTAGGTTTCGGAACGGAACTTTTGCGTGATGTTTGTGTGAGTAATTTCTTACCCCGTGTGACCCAGACACGTGGCGTGGTGCAGAGGTGCCCGTCCTCGTATGTCCCTCTGATTGACATCTGCTCCATTCTGCAGCAGTAACTCACAGGCTATCAGAGAGCCCTATGAGAGCGAGCGAGAGAGATCTCAAACATTAGTAAACACCGTTAATTTACCAAACTAGCTGTACATGAAGTATACACTGTAGAATTTTTTTTTAAAGCATTAAAACAAAGATTATAAAATGGATAGTTCCGGTCCTTGATTCTGATTGGTTGAGCCACGTTCAAAGCTGTTATAAATGATTATAAAATGGATAGTTCCGGTCCTTGATTCTGATTGGTTGAGCCACGTTCGAAGCTGTTGTAAATTGCTCTACAAACATACACATTTGTTTACATTTGTGTGTTGCTTTGCAACCACTTTGTTGCAACCACAACCGTTTCTGAGGAACTACATTGTTTGGCGGAAGAATAATGTTTTCATTAATATCTTTACATTTTATTTGCTTTGTTTCATTTTGTGAAACCTTGCTATGTATATGGAATAACTGTTTTATAAAAGCAATAATCCCCATGAAGCCGTGGTTTACAGTGAATTTATAACAGCTAAGGCCCCGATCACACGAACACGTTTTTTAGGTCTGAAAACGCGAGGCGCACCGCACTGCCTTTTTTTGGTGACTTTAAAAAAAAAAAAAAAAAGAGCAGTGTGCTGCGTTTTTTATGTTGCTACGCAAAAACCAAATCAGCTGTGCTGTCAGTCTAATCAAAGGATTATAGCGCGAGCACTCTAAAAATCTTAGTTTTTTTCCATTAAGTAAACTCTCATATTAACAGAAATCATAAAAAATACTGCTCCGGGTAACCCCGGACACAAAAAGTTTCTCTTCCATCATAGCAGTCTTTCGTCATCACAACTCTCCGATCATTCGATTGGACAATGGAAAAAACGCGAATGACGTAGGGCGCTTTTTCTGCTCAGAGTTGCTTTTCAACTTCAGGCACTTCAGTGTGTTCCAGCAAAAACGCGAGGCGCAGCAGGCAGCGAAAACGCTAGGTACATAGGGCGCATAATATTGGGGAAGTCGTGGCCTAAAGGTTAGAGAGTCGGACTCGTAACCCAAAGGTTGCAGGTTCGAGTCTCGTACCGGCAGGGATTGTAGGTGGGGGGGGTGAATGTACAGCGCTCTCTTCCACCTTCAATACCACGACTGAGGTGCCCTTGAGCAAGGCACCAAACCCCCAACTGCTCCCCGGGTGTGTGTTCACGGTGTGTGTGTGTGTTCACTACTGTGTGTGTGCACTTTGGATGGGTTAAAATACAGAGCACTAATTCCAAGTATGGGTCACCATACTTGGCCACATGTCACGTCACGTCACTTTAAACAGCGCGCAGAACGCTCACTGCCAAACGAAAACAATTCACTGCAAAAAACGCGTTCTGTGTGATCGGGGCCTAAGGGGGTTTTAGGCACTGCTTCGCGTCGTGCCTAACAACGCCCCTTAGCTGTTATAAATTCACTGTTAACCACAGCTTCTTGGGGCTAATTGCTTGAAGTACGTTTTACAAGAAAATACATTTTTGGAAAATACCTTTTCTACTTCATACTTGCCATTTCTTTGGAAATATTTGTGAAATTTGAGCAATTTATGAGTGAAAATGGCTTCACAGTGTAGCATTTGGACCAATCAGACACACAACTTTTTGTT